GGGGGGGGGGGGGGGGGAGAGGATGATGGGGAAATGGATTTTATTTTGTTTTTCCCACGGCCCAAGTGTAAAATACTCAATAGAAGCTCACAGAATCTGTCTGGCCCATTATCGGCTCAATTAATCTTCTTAATGTTTTGATCGTGGTAAAAAAAAAAACAATTATCTTATGTTCTCTCCCTATGTGTCAATTGGATCCCACCGATTCAAAGTGTCCATTATCAAATAATTAATGAGATATATAAAATATAAATATAATAAATAAATATGATTGTCGTCAATTTAATATTATGATCAATATGACCAAATATGACCAAAATTAGATTTCTGGTCATATAGCTTATAGTATATAGGATCACAGTTAGAAAAAAAAATATACATTGAAGTCAAAATAGCAAAATAAGATTATTTTTAACTGGTTGCATTATCAATGTTGTCCATTTTATATCTCTATCAATATATATATAGCAAAATAAGATATACACTCTTGATTGGATGTATTTCTTGTTGGCAGAAAAGCTATAAACTTCAGCAATTGAGATTTTAATTGATAAATGCATAGATCGTTTGCATAAAGATGTGAAAATACTTTTTTAACAAAAAAAATATGTGAAAATACAAATGCCAAGGCAAATCATTATATGTGTTCGGAATGAAATAAAAATTTCTATATTGGAAAAAATAAATTGATTAATATAAATTTCTAAGTCCAATAATGACCCCCCCAAAAAAAAAAAAACTGACTCAACTTTTGATGCTAACTTTAATTGTGTGGTTCGAAATGGATTCAAATCCCTAATGAGTTGGAAGTGACTTTTGTTTTGTTCCAATCGACCTCAGTAATTAATAAAATAATCTGACTTTGTTTCCCTCTAAATTTTTAATTAACAGGAGCCATCTTCAACTAATTATAATTAAAGGACGTTATTTTAATATTTAATTATTTTTAGAATTGATCTTAAAACTTGCATGACCGTATTGCATCTTGATTCTAAACATTGTGCAATCGCAATGTGTGGCGGTTTGTGTGATATTATAATCCTATTAAACAATCTTGAATTTAGTGTAATACACAAACTTATCTACATTAGTTTTCAAAAATATACAAAAAATTTTGAAAATTAATATTTTAGATTCCAACTTCGAATAAAATTTTTAATTATAAAATTATTATATCATAATTTATTTCAAATTCTACTCGGATTGATTTAATACTGTTTCCATTAAAAAAAATTGATTTTCACGTTATTTTAATTTAACTTTTTTTATTATTTCATATTAAAATTTAAAACAAAAAAAATAGATTATTTCCCATTCAAATATAGACGTATTTTTCTACTGCCTTGATTTTTAGAATATATACACTATACAAATATGAAACTTTAAAAAATATGAATATAATCAATTTATAAGAAAGAGAAGTAAATGAGGGGAAAAAAGAGAAAGAAGACAAAATAAGACTCAACCAACCACAGTGATGTGTGGCCAGCTATTGTAAAAGCAAAATATAAAAAAAAATAGAAGAAAGAAAATAAATAAAATGGAATAAAGTTGACCGATCCATGGTAGCCACAATTAGTGAGGGACAAAATTATATTGGACTGACCTTTGCGATATTCATTACCCTACATTTTTCTATAGACTCCCTTTATTCTTGAAACATCTCCTTCAATATTCATTCATCATTATTATGCCACTGTTCCCTAGCTGCCCTTGGCAAACATCCATACATACATACATACATCATGAAAGCATTATAAAATAAGCAAATGGTGATGATATTATAATTCAAGCCAATAATACATTTAATCTATTTTAAATGTGTACAATAATAGATTATTTTGGTTAAATTATTAGTTTTGATTCATCATGCAATATACAATATTTGCAAACTAAAATGATTCAATATATAATAAGGGTATTAATGAAATATATATTTACCTCTCATCATAAAGTCCAAATATGAAAGGGAATAATTAGTGTGATTAAAACAGTTTTTCACTAACAAGCGATGTGACGTCTTACTTTAGAACAAACAGTCTCTTCGCCATATTTTTCTACGGCCATCATTGTTCCTTCAGCTCCAACATAATACACAACTCAATTCACTGAACATTTGACTTTGAGGAAAATAATGGAGAAAAATATGACGATTTTCTTCATTTTTATCTCACAGCAAACTTAGACTGTTAAAAACAAATTAACGTATTAAGATTACGAATTAACGAAAATGGATTTATCTTACTACTATATAAGGAGAATTTTGGTATTTTCATATATAAATATCCATGCATGCATGCATGCATACGTGCATGCATGTATGTATGTATGTATGTACGTATGTGATAAGTTTTATGATTCTTAAACAGTGTGGTAATCTTAGCATGGGTAGGTATAAATTCCGAGACGATATATAGAGGTCTATGTCTCAAAATTGAGACCACATAAAAGTCTAATACGAGATGTTGTTGTATAAAGTCTATAGAAGCATATATTCATGCATTGGCTTAGAATTCACATCATACCGCCAACCAAAAAAAAAAAAACAAACAGAGCTTTCATAATTTCCGGATACATTATCTTATATATATTATTTTAGTATCTAATTTTGGATAACCTTATAATGTTCAGGTGGGATAGTTTTTTTAAATTAATTATTATTTTTCCACGTTAATCATATAAAAAAATACAGGCAAAGCTTCTCATCTGTATCAAACCAAACGAATCATCGATTATTTTTTGTTAAATTAAATTAACTAAATTTAAACTAAATCTGTATCAAGCATACAAGTAGATTTGAAAACGAAAATTTTTTGTTTATGTATAAAACGAAAATCTTTTTAAGAAATGCATATTTCTCTTAACAAAATCAAACTCACAATCCGAAATCATCAGACATATATATATATAGGACGAGTCATGTCTTTGTAGTTTCTTATATCTTCTATAGATTTTAATAGAATATACACTACAAAAAAACAGAAACAGAAAAAGGGTTACGTAATTTTTGCGTCACTCTTTTATATATTTGCGTCATCATTTTTAAAAAGTGACGCAATATCGTCACCAATTCAGATTTCGTCATCAACTTTGGTGACGCAATAGTGACTTAATTTTTGCGTTATTATTTGGTGACGCAATTGGGTCACCCTAAGATGACGCAATTACGTTACCATTTAGTGACGCAAAAGGTGATACAAATATTGCATCACTAAAACGTATTTTCGATCCAATTTTTTTTTATTTCGAACTCAATTATATACTCTAATCCCGATTTCTAACCTTCAACCGCGATCTTAAACCGAATAAGAAATTCTGAAATTGAAACCCCGACATCCACTTTCTAAAGTCACTCATTTTTCCACTACTCCAACACAAACACGCTTAACTTTAGAGTTTCAATTGACAAACAACCAAGTGCTTCAAGTTAAACTTTTGATACATTTCAACATTAATACATATGCATATATAAATATTTATACGTACAAATATATATACGTATATGTTTGTACATATATATACATACACAAAATATATATGTTTATATATATAATATATATTTGTACATATAAATACATACAAATATACATAAATATACGTTTATATATATATATATTCATATTTTGATATATATATATATATTTATATATAAATACAAGTATAGTGATGCAATTGTGTCACCAAGGGTGACTAAGTTGCGTCATCAAAAGGTGACGCAATTATTTGCCTCACCCTTCGTCATCTTTTTAAATGACGCAAATTTTGCGTCATTTTGTTCCTTACTGACGCAATTAGTTGTCACTATTGCATTACTATTTAGTGACACATTAGTGACGAAAATATTGTGTTACTATTTGCGTCACCATTTTAGTGACATAAATTTTGTGTCATCCTTTGCGTTATTTTTTCCGTGTTTTGTAGTAGTGATACCGGAAGAATTTGAAATTGCAATATGCAAGTTCTTGGTTATAACGGAGGAATAATTATAAAATTTTAGAAAGCTAAATTAATTTAAGAATGATAAAAAGGGGATTGATTTGGGATTGCTCTTGCTTTGGTTCTTGGTTCAACAACCTTCTCTTCTCTCATCCTCACGCCACTTCTTTTCCAACGAAGGTTCATGGTTACTTTACTTTTAATTATGTAATCAAGTGATAACCCCATTAATTGATTTTATGAATCTGTTTTGCCAATGATGCTTCATATATATATATATATATATATATATATATATATATAATTAGTGACGAAAATATTGTGTTACTATTTGCGTCACCATTTTAGTGACATAAATTTTGTGTCATCCTTTGCGTTATTTTTTCCGTGTTTTGTAGTAGTGATACCGGAAGAATTTGAAATTGCAATATGCAAGTTCTTGGTTATAACGGAGGAATAATTATAAAATTTTAGAAAGCTAAATTAATTTAAGAATGATAAAAAGGGGATTGATTTGGGATTGCTCTTGCTTTGGTTCTTGGTTCAACAACCTTCTCTTCTCTCATCCTCACGCCACTTCTTTTCCAACGAAGGTTCATGGTTACTTTACTTTTAATTATGTAATCAAGTGATAACCCCATTAATTGATTTTATGAATCTGTTTTGCCAATGATGCTTCATATATATATATATATATATATATATATATATATATATTAATTAGGAACATAATCTCAGTTGTAATAGTCGTAAAAAGAAAACGCTAATGATGCTTCTCGTGGTGGCGCTGGTGGGGGAGATGAGGACAAAGTAGTGTTAATTAATGCTTAATTAACACTAATGACGCGTCATCAAAGATTCTTCTGCACATTGAGCTTTATGTATTTAAACAACCAACCAAAAAAAAAAAGAGATGCCGCTGATCATTTATTTTTAAATTTGGGATGGTTCTACTATATATTGACTATGGTATTTCAAAATATAAAAAATAAAAAATCAGCAGATTATCACATCACTTGACGAGAAATCATAAGATATGTTCGTCATGATATCCACCTTATTATTTCGTTCAACATATCATGAAGAAACACAAACATCATATATATACATGTACATATACTGATGTAATATATATAATTACATATATATATATAGTCAATGATTCATCGTCCATGGCAAAAAGCTTCTTTACAAGCATCTCTATACGGATACATCGATCATGTTTCCCCCTTCAGTCTCCCACACCTCTCCACTTTTGCTTATACTTTTTCAATATTTTAACACCCATATCATTGATCGAAAATACTGCGTGTATATATATATATATATATATATATTACACATATTAACAGGTACGTTTCGGGAATTTACCCTTCGTATACATGGCCCTAACATTCACGTTACAAATTAAAAAAAATGATTAATGTGAAATAGAGATAAAAAAAAAAATTGTATCGCGTCTTTTAACGTATCATGGTACTGTCTTAGGATGTTAATGTATCACCAACCCACTGAGGAAAAAAAACATGAAGAGAATATTAGTTTAATGATCTCTTTGGGATCTTCACATGCAGTCACACACAAGTCAACTCTCTCTGTACTTCACCCTATAAATACCCGACATAACTACGGACACTCCTCACCCATCAAGACAAAACCCACATCAGAACACAACCCTTCTCTCTCTAGATCCCTCTCTCTCTCTCCCCGAGATCCATATCGATGGAGCACGAGGAAATTCCGTCAATGCCCTCGACTCCGGCGACGCCAGGGACACCGGGAGCTCCGCTGTTCGGAGGGTTAAAGGGGTATAATGGGAATAACAACGGAAGATATACACCGAAATCACTCCTCAAGAGCTGCAGATGTTTCAGCGTTGACAAAGAATGGGCCCTCGAAGATGGTAGACTCCCTCCTGTCTCTTGCTCTCTCCCTCCCCCTCCCGTCTCTCTCTACCGTAAGGTTCGATCGCTTTTCTGTCTTATACGTATCCCCTCTCTTTTTTGTTATATCAATATTTCGTTCTATATATATCTATATATCTCCATACATCTCAACCACCATATAGATGCGCATACATACCCGTGCGTATATTGTGTATGAATCGACCGTATATAATTACCTACTTAAGTATAACGATATACAATATCATATATATAAATGGAAATTCATTAATTAGGTGGGAGCTGAGTTCGTGGGGACGATGATACTGATATTCGCCGGAACGGCGACGGCGATAGTGAACCAGAAGACGAACGGTGCGGAGACGCTGATAGGATGCGCCGCCTCGGCCGGTCTGGCGGTTATGATCGTTATATTATCGACGGGACATATCTCCGGTGCCCATCTCAACCCGGCCATCACTCTCTCCTTCGCTGCCCTCAAACACTTCCCTTGGAAACACGTGACTTCTCTCTCTCTCTCTCTCTATCCAATTTTATTATAAACAATCTCATGTTATGTATTGATGTTGATTTTTGTTATGGTAAGACCGTACAATTGCACCGTATTGGATAGTGACTGACTAGGAACTTGTCTTTTAATAAGGTTTCCCAAATATTAAATTACATCCTTTTTTTTGTGTTGTTTTGGACCGCAACAGTTCATGCACCGCCTCTCAGTCACTAGCTTTATTATACTGAAATATAAAGAAAACAATAACAAACCCTAAATACAACTTGATCTAATTAACAGCACATGGTGGTGACACATGTATGTATATGCAAATGTAAAAAAGGTGCCGGCGTACATAGGAGCTCAGGTGATGGCGTCGATGTGTGCGGCGTTTGCGCTGAAAGGAGTGTTTCATCCGATGATGAACGGAGGAGTAACGGTGCCGACGGTGGGCCTCAGCCAAGCCTTCGCCTTGGAGTTCATCATCAGCTTCAACCTCATGTTCGTCGTCACTGCCGTCGCCACCGACACCAGAGCCGTTAGTTCACCCTCCTCTCTCTCCCTATATATATATATATACACGATTCTCTGATCAATCATATCAGAACATGTTAAGCTGTTTGAAAGCACGTGGGCAAGAATCTTGTGAAACGTGGAGGAATCTCCAGACAACGATTAAGATTGAACTCAAAGCCTTGTTTTTTTCTGTATAATTAACAGGTTGGAGAGTTGGCAGGGATAGCGGTCGGAGCAACTGTCATGCTGAATATACTCATAGCCGGGTAAAACACTCTGGATCATTCATTACCAGGTTTCGTTTCTTCCATGTTTTCCAGTTTGCGTTTAACATGTGCTGGGTTTTCATGATGTTTGTCCAGGCCTGCAACTTCTGCTTCGATGAACCCTGTAAGAACGCTAGGACCAGCTATTGCAGCAAACAATTACAGAGCCATATGGGTTTATCTTACAGCTCCGATTCTTGGAGCCTTGTGCGGTGCTGGAACTTACACGGCAGTGAAGTTGCCTGAGGAAGACGACGCACCACAGGAGAAGAGGAGTTTCAGGAGGTGATTGAAAGATTTGACCAAGAAAAGGTTCACGTGTGGAAATATGTTTTGCTGTGTGGATTTGTGTTCTCTATATATAGCATTGATATAGCAGAAGCTTATGTTTATGTATCAACATGTGTGTACTATATGGATCGATTGAAAAAAAAAATGCATCAGTTCCACTCTATTTGAGTGTTGATTTCCGGACAAGATCCAATCAGAGCATGCAAGTGCTTTATGTCTTTACATAAGATGCAGATTATAAGTGTTCTATCATAAGAAAGAATCTAATGCATCTTGCTGATCAGGTCATTGATCTGATCTTCACGGTTACCGGAATCGCCTCCTTCACTGAAAACCTGTTTTCTCCCATGCAAGCAATCCCCCTCCGGCTTGCTGAGTTTTAAGGGTCCCAGAAATTTCATAACCTCTACGAAATGTGGGCCGACTTTCGAGATTTCATGCACCAAGTCTTCCATACTGATGATTCCATATCTCCCTAGAGCCTACGACACACACACACACACATGTACGATTCGAAGACGAGTTAGAAAGATCTTGAAAAGCAGAGCTGATATCCGGCAGAAGAAGATTAGAAAGATCTTGAAAAGCAGAGCTGATATCCGGCAGAAGAAGATTAGAAAGATCTTGAAAAGCAGAGCTGATATCCGGCAGAAGAAGATTAGAAAGATCTTGAAAAGCAGAGCTGATATCCGGCAGAAGAAGATTAGAAAGATCTTGAAAAGCAGAGCTGATATCCGGCAGAAGAAGATTCTACTTCAAATGACAAACTAACTGCACCTGTTCAATAATGATGTTATCGGTGAGAGGAACTGGGTTGTTGTCCACTTTTGCATAGCCCTTCTTGTATATGAGTTCTGTTACATTCTTTAAATTCGGGTATCTTCAACAAAGCCAGAAAAAAAAAAAGCAATATTTCAAGACAATCGTAAAGAAAAAGAGAAACTTTGTTGACAAAGAATACTAGCATTGAAAGAACAGATGATTAGAACCTCGTACCCGAAAGTCACGTAAGGCAGAACCTTCAACAACTTCCGGAGTAATCCATCACTAGATTTAGCAAACACACCAGTGAAGACACTCCTTAATCCCAAGCTGTAAAGAACCTTCTTGGTTTTAGGGTGCATGTCATTCTTGCTGACAAGGGAAAATCACTAGTGTGAGGGGAAATTCTGGACACATACAAGAATCAAAGAACCCCATGGAAAATGTGAAATTTCAGAAATGCATATTACCCTTGTATGCGTATGATGAAGAGTAAGTGTGATTTCAGTTTTAGAGGTGAGGATTTTGGCTTCTTTATCCTTTGCTTCAGCCGAACAAGATCCAGTTCCTAACAGATTAAAAAAAAAACATAACATAAACGTGAAACAGCGCCCAAACCACAAAGCACAAAAGATGATACGCAATTTGTGAAGCAGTCCAACACACAGCAAAAACCAGACTCAACCCTGTGAACCATCGACAATTTCGAAGAAGCAATTCATTGATCTGTCGCTTTGCTTTCACTCATCCCATGCCCACGCAAATCAATGACAGCTATATGCATGTCGTAAGCAGATATTCAACAGGTGTTATAAGAGTTGAAACTGGAATACATAACATAATCCAATTTTGTCCAAAGGAGACATCAATATATGAAAGACAGACGTTTTCTAGCAAGCTTACAGTCTGCCGAGCTAAGCTTATCATGCCAGAGGTCTAGAAAAATGTAAATTCCAAATACAAACCCTAAAGCAAGATCATAAACTCAGGTTAATTCCAAACAAGCTGATAAACCCAGAGAAACAAATCAAAGATCAGACGAGCATTATCGCGTGAAATTGGAAAAATTCTAATAAGCAAAGAATAAACAACGATCGTGTAACATTCAGACATACCTTAGCCCTAAACTCAAGCACCAAATCTTCAGGTCGTTTGATGTTGGAAACTTTCCGCTTCTTCTTACCGTTATTCCCCAACTCAAGTTGCTTCTTACGGAGAAGAACAAGCTCATCCCTTTTCTTCCTTTTCTTCAGTATCACCTCTGGTATATACGCCAATGGTTTAGCCTCTTCTTCCGCCATCATCTCTACGCCCTCCTTCTTTTGACAAACAAAGAGACCTCTTACTGTCGGAGAAAACAAAATCTGACATCATTTTAGAAACAAAAAAAAAATGTTCAGCAATGTGATTCCTCTTCAATTGTGCAACTTTCCCTGTAAAACAAAACACAATCTCGAGTGTGTAGGGTCCGACATTGATGTCGAGTTCCCCAGTTGGTCGCGGAAACAGAGTGAGCATACATACATACCTGTCGCGAGGGAGATGGGGAAGGGGTTTTTTCTAAAATGCACTACTTGGAGCACATTAATTTCAGGTGTACACCTGAAAAAAAGGGGCCTGAAAATTTTTCAGCTTGTACACCACTTTTCGAAAGGAGATGATGAAAATGGTAAGACCATTTCCTATTGGACTATTCCTGATCATGTCGCGGAGATGAAAATGAACCCTCATATTGTAAGAGAACGAGGTGTTGGTCGACCGACCATGAATCGAATCAAGAGTGCCGGGGAAAAAAGAGGAAAGAAAAGAAAATCGAGGGTGAATCCATATGATTCAGAGGAGCCACTGTCACAGAAGAGGAAGAAGAAAGACAAGGAAATCGTTTTGCAGTTAGAAGATGAAATGTAAAACCTGTCATGAATGTATATTTCATTTGTTAACTGTTATGACTTTTTGTAAACGGCTTCATCGTAACTATGTTACGACTTTTTGTAAACGACTTCATCGTGACTATGTTACGACCATTTGAAAACCTATGCATCGTGACTATGTCCAATTTTAAAAAAAATAACAAAAAAGCTTAATAAAAAAAGGCAAAATCGAAAAAAGGAACAAAAGTCTGACAACTGGTGGCCATTCGATGACAACTGGTGGCCATTCGACAAAAAGCCATGTTTTGTCTTATTATCGCCCATAACCAACTTATTGCGACTCGATTATGACTTAATTACGACTTTGGATTTTCGGTCTAAATGTCAAAAATGTCGTTAAATTTGCCGGGTTTTCTGCAAGGAGTGATGAATACTGACTAAGTAAGTAGGAAAATTGACTTATAAGTCACATTTCAAAAACTTTTATACAATAATATAGGATTGGATCAAAGTGTTCCTATATGTTTAAGAAACATATAGGAACACTTTCAATCAAGTTGGTAATTTTTTTTTTCAAATCTTTCTTTTGTTAATTCGTGCCTTTGAATCTATTTCTAATACTTATTTTCAAGGGTTTCATCATCACTCGACGTAAAACTCGTCAAATTTCACGAATTTTTACACGATTACGACCAATAAAAGTCGTAATTATGTCGTAATATAGTCGTTTAGAGTCGTAACGTAGTTGCAATAACGTTGTAAATAGTTGGTTTTGGCCGATAATACGACAAATGCCGTCTTTTTTCAGCTTCAACTTCTTTCCCTGGACCCACCTGTCAGTAAAGTGACTTTTACTTGTTTTTTTGTTGACTTTTTTAATTTAACTTCAAATTCCACCCATTTTTTTATATGAATCATTATATGCATAAAAACTACTTTATTTTTGTCACTTTCAACACACAACTACTTTATTTCGACTTATGAAACTCTGAACTAACACAATAATGCAAACCGCGTTCCAAACCACAACAACACCACAACATGATTCAGAGGTTCAAAAACCACAACAAACAGCAAACCATGTTCCAAGTTCACAAACCACAAAAAAAAAACCATGTTCAAATTACACATACCACAACAAACAACAAACAACATCGAATTTATAACTCAGCATCTTTCTTCGTCTTCACCGTTCGGTTGACGAGTGCAACCATTAAACTCATCTTCAATGACTGGTTCTTTTTCATGTGGAATATGTGCCTGAATTGCGATTGTTCCGTGAAATATTTCAGCTCCTCCTCAGTCATATGGTTATGTAGAAATTCCACTGCTTCTACCGTGAAAACATTTTGACGGTACCTTCACTGTTATCTTGTTCATATCGTCAAATTCATAATAGAATTCAACTTTGGGTATATCAACAATCTGCAACAAAACATTTACGTTCATCAAATATATAACAGAATTCGTAATTGAATTCACTACGATTACTTATTTATCACTTCCTATCAGACACCTTGCAACTTTTAAGTTACAATATGTCATCATTCTACATCGAATTTATTTGACATTACTACAATTACTTATCTGTCACTTCCTGATTACGACCTTGCAATTTTGAAGTTACAAACATACATCAATCCAAATCAAACTTTGAACGAAACCTTAATTCACTACAATTACTTATTTGTTATTTTGTATCACACAATTTGCAAATTTTATGTTACAATCGTCCAAAATTTTAACGATTCTTTGTTTCCCTCTCTAATATTTCGGACTTTGTCTTCTTCAACCTAAGATCAACAAATGACAACCCAAACCTAATTCCTACACAAATTCAACTTCAAATCCAAACTCAAATTCAAAATTCTTACTTCTCTTTCACGGGAAGATTCTGAGCCTGTTGATGTCTCCCCCTCCGCCACCGACTGCGACTGCGTCTGGGTTCTTCCGACGGCCGACCTCGACCGTGTTGAAACAGCGGTTCCACTCGACGAAGCTCCTTGCATTCTCATCGTTTCAGAGGTAATCACACTTGAGTTTTCGATTTCGATTTCTCCCTCACCGATTTCACAACTCTCTCTCTCTCGGCGTTTTCTTTCTCTCTTTCGGCGGTTTCTCGATTTTTGTAAGTTCTGTGTAAATAACTGTAGTAAAAATGCCTCAATTTCCCTTTTTCTTCTGAATTTCTCTCTTTTTTTACTTTTTCACGGGATTTTAATTCCTACACGTGCGACTTCTCTCACACGGTTACGTATTCAAGGTTATTTGGTCTTTTCCATTTTTATTAAGGGCAAACCAGACTTTTGCTAAATCGTTATGTTTTTTAGGTGTACACCTGAAATTAATGTGCTCCAAGTAGTGCATTTTAGAAAAAAACCCGATGGGGAAGGTGATTCAGGTTAGGTTAAGGCTTTTGGTCGCGCGCTCCGCGATTGAAGTGAAGATAAGTTTTGGGCTTTAATGGATTGTTATAAATGGGCTTGAATGGGCCGATACACGAAAATAAAAAATTTATTTTCGAATTAAAAATAATCTGGAACTATCAAAAAAGTAAAAAAAGCAACATAACATATAGGATCATGATTCATGAACCTGTGTATTGGTCATTGATGCAGAGAGCTTACGGTGGGGTGAAACACAGAGGATCATGAACCTGTGTATTTTGGTCATTGAATTCCCGATTACGCAACATTTTGCCGTTGAAGAAGCAGCCAGAAGATCTGTCTGCGTCTTCAAACGAACCTTCGTCTCCTCTCGATCCGATCGCGTTACACCTCTCTCCCCCTCTCTGTCTCTCTCGTTTTCTGTTTCTCGGGTACCAAATCTCTGAGGAATTGATCCGGCGAGAATCGTCGTCGGATTGTATCGGAAGAACCAGAGGGGGACGTTTTACCCGATTTGGTGAACCATGGATGTGCCTAGCTCCTGGGACGCTTTACGCAAACAGGTGAATTTCTGGTATCCTTGATTCTTGTTTGGTTGTTGAGAATCTGCGGGAAGTTCGGTTTCGGGCCCTAATTCGTAGCCAGTAGGCTGATGACTCTATTGAGGATGAGATGGTTGAAAATGCATCACTTTTAGGATTTGGGTTATAGAATATGAGCTTGGTTCTTCCGGGTTCGGTTTGGATAACCGAATTGAGACCAATTCTGGTGTCGGTGGGTTTCTTGGAGGACATAGTTCTGTTCAATCTAACTGCAATGTTGTAGATATGGTGTTTGGTGGAGGATATGGTCTAGGTGCTAAGCTATTGTTTCGAAAAAGAGGAACGAAAGGATGAATTTCACATAGAGGAGATTAAGTTCTACTCGTTGGTTTCATTTCGAGCTGGTAATGTAGGGGAAAATCACGGTGCTATAAGGCATGCCCTCCGCATTTGTGCAACGATGTAGAACAAAGCCCGTGAATTTCTCAAGAATTCTCTCCTCATCCCATGTTTACGCATCTGGTTGTTTAGGTGTTTTCGGTTGTGATGGTTTAAAGCAAAATGGTTGTGTTTCTGCATGTGACAACAGGCTAGAAAGCTTGAAGCTCAACTAGACGAGCAGATGCATTCATATCGTAAACTTATCTCATCAAAAGTTTCAGCAAAGTCAGATGCTGCAGAGAGTGATCTTGAAGCTGGGATCGATTTGCTCTTAAGACAGCTGCAACAAGTAAACACACAGATGCAAGCTTGGGTTTCATCAGGTGGATCAGAAATGGTCTCGCATACCTTAACTCGCCATCAGGAGATTCTTCAAGATCTGACACAGGTACTGCCAGATTTCTCGCCTTGTACAATTGGTTGATAGCATTACTATCTGAGAATTGGATAGCTACATTGTTCTTTAGCTGGGTGTTTTGAAATGGAATAGACTGTCATTTCTGTCATCAGTTTGGACTTTTCTTTTGGACCCGTTAAGAAACTTATCCTGTGTTGTAGACCTAGTACTGTAGTGTAATCTAGTGTTTGGCTCGTTTTGAAATTCAGGAGTTTCACCGACTTCGCTCCAGTCTTAGAGCAAAGCAAGAACATGCTTCACTTATCGAGGATTTCCGAGAGTTTGACCGGACACGGCTAGACTTAGAAGAGGGTGTTGGCTCTACAGAACAAGCTCTGCTCAAGGAGCATACATCAATTAACCGCAACACAGGGCATGTAAGTGGACCATGGCTTTCAGTAGTGTATTTGATTTCATACCTTTTATTCATGCTTGGATCAGGGTTTTCTTCAAGTTCTATGTCATTCTAGGCTAAGGAATAAGATAAACTCTTTTACCTTAGGAGTTCTATATAATATATTACCAACCATATTACATCATCGCAGATGGATGGCGTCATTTCTCAAGCTCAGGCAACACTTGGTGCACTCGTTTTTCAACGTTCAACTTTTGGAGGCATCAATTCAAAGCTAGGAAACGTTAGCAGTCGTCTCCCGACGGTATGAATGCTTCCATTTCTTCTTTTCTCTCACAACCATCAGATTTTCGGTAGTCAGTTCACATTTCACAACACTTCACCAGTGTATCTGAGCAAAACCCAGAGAACAAGTTCTGTTCTTTCTTTTTCAGTACAATGACTTGTCCCTTGTCATAATGCTACGACATCTCAAACTCGGTACCTTTAAACGGATGCAGGTGAACCATATTCTCTCGGCGATAAAGAGGAGAAAATCAATGGACACCATCATTCTATCGCTTGTTGCAGCTGTATGCACGTTTCTCATCTTCATCTACTGGCTAACCAAGTAAGGTTCATGATTTTGGTTCTTGTGGCTCACGTCTCCTCCATCTCCGTCCCCTTCGCCAATGTCAATATGCACCCCTCGGTGTCTCGCTCCCTGGCCCGTATCTATCTCCTCTTGTCGCGTGTCACTGCTATATCCCCCCAGAGTATTCGCACCGTATATTCTGTCATAAGAACCTTGTTGCTATACCATCAATGTCTGTGAAGACCCATCACCCAAAATTTGTATACAGCGTTTTATCCAGTGATTTGATCCCATAAAAAAAATGCAGAAAATTTCAATATACACGTATGCGTAAGGAGATCCGTATAGTATCTAAATCCCCGACTGTAGGAAATGACTGATTAGGGTTTGTCTATGAATGTTTGATTAGACATGATACAAGTTCATGGGTCTGTCTGAATAACAATTGATCCCTACGTGGCCCATTCACCATTAGTCTAAAATCATTGTTAACGTGAATGTTTTTCTTTTTTTTTTTTAAATTAAAAAAAAAACTATGGTAGAGGTTGAGACGACAATGTAATCTTGGAGAAGATATAATGTGTCGAGAGATTGATTAGACAAATGCGAAACCAATCCATCAATTCCCACGTACAGTGAAAACCATCATATTTCTCGTGCTATGTACGTGAATGCTTACCCTACCCCGGCCCCCATGTATGTCTTTTGTGGCTGTCGCCTTGTTACTATGTAAAAAAATATATATATAAAATTATTTGGACCGAACATCGTATACTGGTCATAATCTTATCACTTTTATAAGATCATGTTAAATCTCTATTTCTATGGATAGAAAATTCGTGAACATTCATCCTCTAACCAATGGCGCCAATTCCCAAACCCTTTCAAGTGTCTTCTTGTCTCTACTATGATTTTTTTTTTTGTTTTGGAATATTTGTTACCTTGTAATGTTACTAAATAAACAGAAACATAAAACTATTTAAAAAGAAAAGTAGTAATCTCTTCATTTGTATATAGACTAACATTTGGACAATTATTATGTCGTGCTTTTCTATATAGCCTACTAACCCCCATGCACGAGCACTTCCACTAGCGCCTTCTTTCCACTTCTTTTGAAATAAAAAAGGAGAAATGATAATCCGGTGGATTAATCCCTCATTCTTTTTTTTTAAATATAAGAACGTAAATACCACACTATTTTCTACGTTACATATATATGTATATATATATATATATATATGTTAGATGAGATTTGACAAAAGATATATGGTTCAAAATCAGACTTTAAATACCTATGAAGATGTCGGCCATCTTTCACCGCCCCGCCACCACCTTTCGGACCATTTCCACATCAATGTTTCACACTCTTCTCATTGAGAATCTTTTGATTTAGATTATACCCTATTTTTATATAATGATTAATGATTATACACCTTATCTCCATAGTTGTTATTATTGCTATCGGCGTTTTCTTTTTTTTTTTTTAAATTCGAAACGTATGGATTCGGTTTAGTTAGCGAGTAATTTATTAACACACTCGAGGGCTCGTCGTAGGACCAAGCGAATACATTTTCAGCATTTTGTCATCGCGTTTAATTACATAGAAAATAAGTATTTTTCTTTGAACAGGAACACATCTAATAGTCTAATTCTGCTGAAACTTTAGGAACAAAACAAATATATATACACACATAGGGAATACAAGTTGAACTTTCAATGTCAAATTCCAAAAGATTGCTTCCCAAGGGACGTGGAGTTTGAAATAGACCCTTTTAAATATTAAATAAAAAAACCCACATAAAATAAAATATTATATGTGGTTTTTTTTTAATATTTATATTAGATTATTTGAATCGCTCTAATAGAACCGCATTAAAAAAAAAGGCCAATTTGATAGCACTCACTACAGTTTAGTAATATTTTATATTAATAATTATTTCAAATTAGTAATTAACGAGAGTCTAATATACCATATCAAATAAATTAGCAAAGTAAAACTAAAACATACATATGATTTATGGTTATATGTATGTGATGCATTGTATCCATAAGCAAAGGCTTAATTCAGGAGACAGGATGTGTATATTTGTCAATAGAAGTGTGTTGACATTAACTGCAGCTAATTAAAGGAAAGAATATGAAACTAGAGAAAGGGATTGTCGGGGAGATTTGATTGGCCTCTTAATCTCTCTCCAATGTGCTAACTCACCTAACTCCATAAAGAGACAACTTCTTTTTTTAAAAAAAAAAAAAATATTCTTTTTCTCTAATTTGTAGATAGTATTTGACAATGTGTGTTGGTGTTGTTATATTAGACTCTTACTAAACATTCATTAAATATTATATTGGTATAGAAACTCTGACCAAATATAAGATTGTATAATTAAAGCTACACTAATCTCATCTTAAGATTTAGCTCATTAATTTGCTCCAGCATATCAAATGTGTATAATGTCCTAGTAACGTGCATGTTGATGTTCATCTCTTTGTTACTTGGATTGAATTCGAATATATATACTATTGAAGATTTTTATTATTTAAAGTTTATGGCTATAATGTATATATAGAACATAAAAAAGGTATAATTGTATTCAATTCTTGTTACATAATATAAATAACCAAACCATACACAAATTTTACTATTATATGAACTCTCTATATTTTCCGATTATGAATTGTTACATAATCCGTTTTTTTTTTTACACTTGTTGCGAAAATGGTGCAGAAAAAGCTACGGCACTGCATAAAGATGCACAACACAAATAGGGCGAAACTATAAAACCAAAAGCATATTCTAGTTAAAGGAGAGCCACGTAATTATTGCATTTGTAACATAATTAATTAGACCCCTAACATGAATAATGAAAAATGATTATTTTGTTTGTGATAGTGATATAATGAAAATGATTTTTTTTTTTTATAAAAATAAATTATGATAGGTAGTGTACATGTTCGGTGTCTCTTTCTAGTATATACCACTACTGATACCAACATGGTACACATGAGTGTGGCTGTGCATCTTAGGTCAGTTTGCACACATCAAAGGTGTCCCCTTTTTTTTCTATAGCAATTATAGAAAAGGTGCAATGTCCTTCCATAAATAGATCACTCCACATCGACATCTTTAGACTTGTTTGCATCAATTCACATCTCACTTCCCTAGTTTCCCCCATATCCACTCCCACATCTATATATACACACACACATAGAGATAAAGAGTCCCAAAAGCTCTCTTCACATAACCACCAGATGGAAACGATCGGGAAACAAGATCAAGATTCGGGTCATCGCGATCTTGAACTCGGTCTCACCCTTTTGTCCAAAGATCCAGCTCGAGGGCCGGGCTCTTTGAAACTCGGTCCGGTCGGTTCTTCTTTAGGGTTGATCGAGACCTCAGGGCTTCGCCAGTCGAAGACGGAAGAACGAGGCGGTGGGAATGATCCGAACGAGAGTGATCCGAGGGTGTTTTCTTGCAATTACTGCCAGAGAAAGTTCTACAGCTCTCAAGCACTCGGCGGCCACCAAAACGCTCATAAACGCGAACGCACGCTCGCCAAACGCGGACACTACAAGATGGGTCTCTCCTTTTCTTCTTCTTCTTCTTCTCCCTCTTCCTCCGCGTTTGCGTTTGGCCACGCGGCGACCAGATTCGCGAGCATGGCCTCACTGCCTTTGCATCGGTCAACGAACAGGTCAACGCTAGGGATTCAAGCTCATTCGACCATTCACAAGCCGTTCTTCGGACAAACTGCCAATTACACGGCGAGTTTCTGTCATGTATTCAGACAAAACATTCACCAGAAACCGACGGTCGGAATGATCTCGCCGGAGAAAATTCACGCCGGAGGAGGTACTAGTAGCATTGCTACGAAGATTGAGAATGGTGGACATTTCAAGAGCATGCATGAAGATCATCAGTTCAATAACATCGACTTGACTCTTAAGCTATGATCTTTTTTTTTTATTCTTCTTTCCACTCTTGTTACATTTTTTTTTATAATCTCGTAGCAGATTAAAAAAATCACCCGATTTTTTTCCTTGGTCTCTTTCTGTTTGGTGATCGATTACATGATATGATTAGAGCTTCACTAATAGCAGAGTGTATATATATTTCAAGATTCAGTCGTGTAATTCAAGATCCGAGGGTTTGATGTAAATATACCAAATAATTTCAAGTTATTTCATATTGGCATTAAAGATATTGGAATGTAACCGGATAAAGTATGTTTGTCGATTAATATTTGTTTAGCTTTGATACGATTAAAAGCATATACTATATAGTAGATGACATATTGAAAGCTAAAGATCTAAGATTTTTAAAAAACCATATAAATAGATTTTACTGGTAATTCTAGGAAGAGAAATTTACAAGTGGGGAAAACCAAATAGTAATTAATAAAATGAATAAATAATGGATTAATTACAAGTATAGGAAAGGGGGAGAGGGAGGAATCATTTCATGTGTAGCAAAATGTGTCCTACGTAATAAGCATTTATTATTGGTCCACTATATTTGCACCGTTTTATTAGGCGTGAAAGTTAATTTATTCAATCTATCTTATTATTATGTTTCTATCTCCCCTTTCCGTCCTTTTTTTTAATTGTTCTCTCGATAAAAGTTATGTATATATAATTAAACCATCAAATCAAAATACTTCACACTATTTCAAACCTAATTATTCATATATTTATACATATAATATGTTTATGAGAAACAATCGATCAAATAAGTTATAATCAATAAATACATAACCCTACACAACCGATAATGTTTTACTTATATGTCTAGAATCTATGGACAGGAAACGTTTATCTACGCACTATCAAATGAATAAGATCGGATTCGAATACAGCATTTATAATATATATATATATATAGGATTCGAATATAACATTTATAATATATGTATATAATGTTAGGGAGGGAGGGAGAGAGAGAGAGAGATGAAGTGGATACGATGTGGTAATCCAGGTGAGGACCCACTTGTAGTTAAAAGAAAGAGACAATAATCTACAAGTGAAAGTGTTTCATTGACAGAGGTTGTTGTTCGTAACCCATGTGACAATTATAGTCAATAAAGATGGCCCTCTTTAATCTAATTCAGTCACATCAAAATTTGTTTCCCTTGTTTTTAAAATTATTTTTAAATATGACAATTTGTTTCTATATATATATATATATGTATGTATATGTTGGTGAGAAGTATCTGTTAGTAAAACACTATCTAAGGATTTGGTGAATTATTACTTAGAGATCCTGTGAGTTTTCAGGTGGGTCCAAATCAACTTGATTGTTCACACTAATGCTGTTTTTAATATCATGCTAATCATTTCATTAGCAAACAAGATTTTCCTTAAATCAAGATGTTAACGATGCGGAAATCTGGTTATCATGCACCATAATTACCTCACAAACCTCACATTATCCACTACGTCACATCAACACCACCCCAACTCTTTCATACACTTGAATAGTTGAGTTTCATTACTATATATAACAAACTTTTTTATACACTTATAGTATTAAAAAAACCCTTTTAATTAAAAAAAAAGGTGGTCAATAACATTATCATACAAAATTTCAATATTTACCCGTAATTTCCAAAATACGATTTAAGATTTCAATGTAACATCAAACATTACAAAAAGTGACTACACGGGTATCTATCTATATCCTTTGCGGCTCAATTTCCAATCCTAAAGGGAAAGAATTTCTGTAGTTCAGTTGGGTTGTCCTTTTTGGTTTTTGGTGTTTCATTATAAACCCTAACATAAAAATAAAATCCTTTGAAACTGAAGAAACAAGGGGTAAAAGGTAAAAAAAACAAAAAACAAAGGAGTTGCTCCACCGTTAAGGAACACCAAATACAAGAAAGAAAATTGATTTCAAAGTCACCATTCGGCCCAAATCTGAGCAAGAACTCATCCATTCTTTCAGTACCTTGTGCAATGAAGAGTCATCATTAGGCAACCAACAACAACTATGCTATCTACCTATAGTTACCACTTAGAGCCCTAAAGATGAACAGACAAGCTCCACCCACATGGTAAGTGTACATGCATAATGGTATTTGCATTGATCATATATATATATATATAGGTTCATGTGTACATATATAAGCACCTTTCTTTGAACAGGGTTATGTGAATGCATTTGCATTGGTTATCATATATAGGTTTGTGTGGAGCATGCCGGCCTACAGATGTATGTATGTATGTATGTATGTATGTATGTATGTATGTATGTATGTATGTATGTATGTATGTATGTACGAGGACATGTACATGTGATGAATATGTCGCACGTGAATCTTTATTATGGACATTCCATGGTATCAAAATGCCAAGAAGGGGAAGACATAAACCAAGTCTAAGTAAAAACTAGACAACTATTTCTGCCAGAAGCAAAAGGTCATAGCCCGATACATTTTGACGCCAAGAAATCAAACCATGCGGCTACCACAAGATTCACAGATTCATATTTTATTTTTGCTCTATGTAAGATTTAACCGTTTCCATCCATCTGATATGCTCAGCTTTATCTTTGTTCTTCATGTACTGATGCAAGAAAACAGCAAGGTCATCGCCTATACCTCTTTCCTCTAAATAATCGTAAAGCGAGTTCTGCAGCTCATCGTCCAATTCCCTGTTCAACAATCAAAGCCAAACATGAATTCCACAAAATCAGGAGAAAAACATGAATCTGTTATATGAACAACTTCGAAAGTTTCAAACTTTCGAAAGAATGGATTATATCAATCCAGGAATCAGCAAGGATAGATTTTTGGACATGAATGGATCCTATTGGACATGACTATCTTGACCATTTCTATCCATCCATAGACCTCATTTACTCTGAAAAGGCGATAAGATCCACATACTTGAATTCTGGCCCAACATAGGGATGCTCTGAACTCTTCCCATGCCTACGAATGAAGAGGTTTGATATTTCTATGGTATCGGGCCAAGCAGAACACATGATCTCCAAGGTTTCACCTTCATCACCTTTAGAAACATTGACAATGAACGTAATGTGAAGCTGCACTTCTTCAGGTTCACCACTAACTGGAACTGAACCATCTATCATGGTAGCTTCAATTTTAATATCTTCATTGTCCCCAAATTTTCTTTTCAAACTAATCCACTCCTCCCCTGGTCGTTCATCCACTGTGAATGGACCAAAACTGGAAGTAACCTGCGGTTTTGTGCGTATACAAGTAGACAACGTTAGCATACAACACAAGAGGACGCATCAGAACGAGAAGAAAGAATCTTCAAAAGACTACTAAGGGCAAAAAAAAAAGAAAAAAGAAAAAAGAAGAGCAAATTCCTTCCTTTTAGTTTCTTCTGAAGTCAAACGAGCAAACCCTTACAGGGAAAGCAATCACGGGATATACCATCTATAAACAAAGGCAAAAAAAAGGTTCATGTTTTTCCTACCCGTCAAGTAAAAGAGTAGTGGACAAATCGACAATTTCCAGACACAGATGGCTCTTTTCTTCAGGAAAGGAACCAACGTTTCCCAAAGAAAACGCATTATATCAGAAGATGGTGAATTTCCTCTCTTTTTCCATTTCCCTCATAAGATATCGTTCCAAATGCAAAAACACAGCTGAAAGCAATTCAACTGGGCAATATATAAATAGTTCGAGCCCAAGGAATGGACATGGGGTGGGGGGGGGGGG